TTTTGACACTGGTAGATTATAAATATTTATTTAGCTAATAAACTTAGATTTTCCCTGAAAACATAATCCTGAAAAAATCTAACTGATAAATAAAAGAAACAGACATCTCTTACATTCATGGCAGTATTTCTTTTGGGCCAAAGACATAATATGTGGCAATTTGCATGGCTTTAATAAAATTGTTTTATAGCCTACCCTAAATTACCTGTGACTTATTCAAAGGAAAAAATTCAACTAAGTTGGCTTTCTGTCACCTAGAAAGCCTCTGACACTCTAAGCTTTCCTGGTAGTTAGAATTGTGTATTTTCAGAAACTACCAGTTATGCTCATTATGTGTTGATTAAAACAACAGAGAAAGGAGTCATATAAAAAATAAAATACAAATCAGAGTACCTACTGCTTCAGATTCCCTTGATCAAAGCACTCTTTTATTAGCATAAATAATTGGGAATGAACTTTGGTCAAGCTTGTTTTTTGCTGTCCACATCCTTATTTTAAAAATTCTTAAAAACATTTTTGAAACATAGACATGGAACTAGTGATAACTCTTCAAAAGCAAATTCTTTCAGTCTCAAGCAACAATTCTTAGAAAGAAAGAAAGAAATAAGGTATTTTCCTTAACTAGCTCCTGTCTGTCATTTTGTCATACTGTTGTGGTTTGTGTGTTGCTATGATGCTGGAAATTATGCCATTGGTATTTCAAATACAAATAGGGTCACCCATGGTGGATAGGTGTCAGAGCTTCCAGACTAAGACTGAGTAGGAAGCAAGGCTTGGTGATCTACTTCTGAAAATCAGCCAGTGAAGGGCAACAGAATACTGTCTGATGCCGTGCTGGAAGATGAGTCTCCTAGGTGGAAGGCAGTCAAAGTACTGAGGCCGCAACAATGGACTGGAGATACTAGTGATCCTGAAGATGGGGAAGGGCTTGGCAGTATTTTGCTCTGTTGTACACAGAGTTGCCTACTGACAGCAACGAAAAACATTTTCCTTAAGACTCATTTTGGGTGCAGATTTTGCTCTAAGTTTTATTTGTGTTTTGCAACAGCATTTATGAGCAAACCAACTGACCATTTACAACCTAAACAATGGCTTCAGGGTATGATTAAGAAATGCACCTGGTCTCACTCAAACAAGTTTGTTTAACCTGGTGACTTTCCTGTGTTGGGGTCAGGCAGGAGCAATCTTGTTTGAGGGAGAAAAGAAGAGTGAAGAGCAACTATAACTGACTCACTGAGAACAAAAGGGTTCTACTAACTAATGTTTGTAATTACAACTGCTTTAACAGTTTCAAGTAGGCTAGGCTATCATTTAAGTGGCCCACTATAATTTGCATGAAACCCCCAGGAAATTCTACCAACTTTAGAATAGGAGTTGCATTTCTGAGTTGACTCAGCATAATGAACCTACTGAAGTGCTGAGTCTTCCTTCTTTGGTACAAACTTACATCAAGGGAAAAATTAATCACTAAAAGGAATTTAGCTAGAGATTTGAAAAAAGACTGTCGCATTATATTTTCTTTTCTTTTCTTTTTCTCTCTTTTTTTATTATGGAAAATTTCAATCATATAAAAAAATATAGAGAATAGAATAGTGAGCCTCCATAAACCCATCAGTTCCAATAATTAGCAACATATTGTAATTTTATTTTACTGTATACCATCCACTCCTCTCCTTAAAACTATTTTTAAAGCAAATATCAAATTGTGGAAATCCTGTATTTTATATAAATTTCCACTATATAAATATATATAGAGAGAGACAGGGGAGCCCTGGTGGTGTAGTGCCTAAGGCATTTGACTGCTAACCAGAAGGCTGGCGGTTCAAACCCACTACCTATTCCTCAGAAGGCAGATTGGGCAATCTACTTCCGTAGAGATACTGCCTTGGAAACCCAAGGAGGGGTCACTATGTATTGAATTAGACTTGACGGCAGTGTGTGTGTGTGTGTGTGTGTGTGTGTATAGAGAGAGAGAAAGAGAGAGAGAGAGATCTTATATATAGAGAAAGAAAGAGACAGAAAGGCAGTCTCTGGGTTGTGCAAACGGTTAATGCGCTCAGGGGCTAATCACAAAAGGATGGAGGTTTGAACCTACTAGAGACATTTCCAAAGAAAAGCCTGGTGACATACTTTCTAAAAAAAATGCAGCCATTGAAAATCCTACGCAGCACGGTTCTACCCCAACACATAAAGGGTTGCCATGAGTCAGAGTCAACTCAATGGCAACTAGTATATGTATTATTACTAGGTGCCATCGGGTCAATTTCTACTCACAGCAATCCTATGTAACAGAGTAGAAGTGCTCTATAGAGTTTTCTAGCTGTACAGTGCCTAAAGTATTTGACTGCTAACCAGAAGGCTGGTGGTTCAAATCACCAGCCACTCCATGGAAGGAAGACAGGGCAATTTACTTCTGTAAAGATTTACCACTTTGGAAACCCAATGGGGATTTTTATTGACTCGATAGCAGTGGATTTGATTTGGTTTGGAATCTTTACAGGAGCAGATTGCCATGTCTTCCTCCCATGGAGACACTTGATAAGTCTGAACCACTAACCTTTTGGTTAGCAAAGGAACACTTAACCATTGTGCCACCAGGACTCCAAATATATATCTGTATCTATGTATGTATATATTTGTATGTGGTTGAAACTATTCTAAACATCTCATGGTCAAAGAAATTTCTGAAATTTCTATTGATCACCCCAGAAATATCATTGAACAGATGTTTAACCAATTTCAACCACATCTTGTAGAATTTTACACTAGAACCTATCTGCCCAAAAGGACTAATTTGTTTGAATATAATTGGGTAATTAAAAAAACAGTGTAACTTGACACACAGTCCTTTTGTTTATGTAAAACAAAAGCAACATTTGAAGAGTGAGAAAATAGTTCCTGTTACTCACTCCTTTGTGGTGCCAGTCTTTGTAGACACTGGAATCAACCAGAGACAAGGTTAAAAGTAACACAGTTAGACTTGCCTGGTTAGAGCCTTAAAAAATGGGTGGACACTACTAAAGCACCAAGAGCTGCCTAGAACGAAACTTTCTCCTTTTCCTTCACAGCACACATACAGAATGAAGAAGATGCCAACAGAACAAACCTTGGGAGGTTCAAAAATCACTCATCAAGTAGTCCAGCTACTTACAATAATTTACTACTGATCTTAAAGCAAACTTCAAAAGGAAAACCATCTAGCATTCATATTCAATTTCTCACTGCCTGATGACTAATTTGTAGAATAATCAAGTCTTCACAAGAGAAGCCAAAATAATTTGAGGTGACTTTGATACACTGCCACAAAGGATATGAAGAGGAAGCCGGTAGAAGCTGCAAATGGCTAAATTCCATTAAGAGTTCTAATAAAAGCATAATGGAATTTCCCTTAACTGTGAATAAAAAAAAAAAAAATGTTAGAAGTGGCTAAAATTTAGACAAGTCAGGAAAAACCTTTGATTTGTCCTAGACATTTTAGTGTAGTTGTTAAATGTGGAATTTATGTTAATTAAAATGGCTTCATCTAAGAAAAAGGCAACATTGCTATGGGAAATTGGGCCAATCTCATTTCTCTTGCTGTAGTTATCAGCCTGTACCTTCCGTCTGCATTGTCAGACACAACAGGCTCTCACAGCCTCTTTCAAACAAGTTGTCATATTCTGCAAAGTGAATGATTTAACTTGAAGAATGTAACTTGAAATGATATAATTTTTAGTAGTGTATATCGCCATGGTCACATGGAGTATAAGCACCTCTCGTTACAAATTTGTGGTGCTTAAGGCAACTGGTCACTATGGAAACACTAGAAGCTAGGCAAATGCTTGTAATTTCTATGAACAACTGGCACAGTACTTTTTTTTCTCCTGAATCCAGACATCTCTGTGTTCTCAACTGAGAAAAGTAAGTTTTCACACTACTTATTTTGGCTACTTAAAAAATCCTCACCACATGTCTCCGTGTAAATTCATAGATAAAGATTTAAGTTTATACTAGCATTTCAATGGTGGAGATTTTTTGTTTGCTTCTGAAATCACCTCAAATTAACAGATTTACTGGAACCTTTTATGGCAGAGAAGTTCTGCAGAAGTTTCATAAATCTTTGAATATACTTTCCCATGAAGATGTGATGTTAAGGATTTTCTTAAAAATGTTTGTTTAATTTTTTTAAGGTCTTTATCTGGTACAAATATACGGTGAAATACTTAAAAATGAAAAGACGTTTGGGAATTCTTCAAAATTGAGAAGGGGTAGAAAGTGTGAGGTATAGATGAAATAGAATTGGCCATGAATTTATGAAGTTGTGGAATGGGTATAAGAGGTTCATTACATATTCGGTCTTTTTTTGCAGCAAACTCTTGGCAACATATATTTCAGATACAAGGTTGTGCACTGATTTTATTAGGGTTTTTATTTTAAAATGTAACTTTCTATCAGGAGCAATGGAGAACCAAGGGTTAGCAGTCAATATTTCAATTATCTTTACCATTCCTATGGAGCTCTGGTGGCATAGTGGTTAAGGCATTTGGCTGTTAACCAAAAGGTCAGCGGTTTGAACCCACCAGGTGCTCCATGGGAAAAAGATTAGGCAATCTGCTTCCATAAAGACTTATTGCCTTGGAAACCCGATGAGGGTCGATGAGTTGGAAATGACTCAATGGCAGTGGATTGGGTTACTATTCCTAGAAGCCAAGTTCATCCACTACAGTGTTTGGGAAAAAAACCAAAAACCAACCAAACAAAAAATACTTTTCACAACCATTGAGATTTCCATGACAATATGTAATTAAATTTTAATATGAATGAGACAGAAATATTTTAGTTCAGAAATACAAATGTCTTTTCTTTAAAAAGGTTAAAGAGTTGAAAATTTAAGTTAGTCAACTGAAATTGAAATATAATTGGCAAGTATATTGCAAAACCACAATATATTGGGAAAAAATAATGCTACACATTCAGAAAGGTTTGTACTACCCAATATACTAATAACATAATCCTCTTACCTTGTGATCATATGGACTGTAAGAATGAAACACCAGAGAAAGATTTTTTGTTCTTTGCTTTTTCTGTGAAGGAGAAAACAAACATATGAGCTGACAGGTGACAAAAATATATAGGTGTGTATTAAAAATATTGCGTATTTGGAGATTTTTTCTTTCTGAAAACTAAGGGGCAACAGTGTCAATCTGGGACACATGGATGCAATTAGTAACCAAAGTCACTTGATGGTTATGTGGGCTGTTCCCACCAGGCAGCCAGGCAAACTTTTCCTGGAATGTTTCACAATTAAGACACTATTACTATTGAAAAAAAAAAAAAAAAAAAAACCTATTAAAAAATGCATAACTCAAGAGACTAAAATAAAGAAAACATTGTGAAAAGAAAAAAAAATAATAATACCCACTTAGGACACTTTCATTATAACACCAAATGCATCCATGTAAACAATATACCTCCTTCAGGTTTCCCGCTTACATCTGGAATGTCTCTGTTTGAGTTTGTAGGGATGAAGACATCTTTGTTTTGTCACTTCTCTAGCTCTATTGCCCAGCATGGTGTGTCACACACAGTAGGCACTCCATAAAAATTTGTTGCATTAATGAATGTACCAAAGTTAGGCATATAACAATTGATGATTAATTAATTATTAATTAATAAAACCCATACATACAGTTATGAAAAGAGATGTCTCTTTTCAACTCTAATGGTATGTTCTTCTCAAGTGGAAAACTTGCAATCAAAACTCAGGCACTACTCAAGTCCCCATCCTACTCCCTGCTCCCCAGTATCTGTGACAAGTGAGGAAGTGTGGAGTTCTATTATTACAACTGACTTTAAGAAGCAGCTTGAACAATGGGTCTCTCCTTGTCCAGAGTAAAGAAGAATGAAGAAAATCAGAGATGCATGGAAACAATTAGTTTAAGTGACTGGTATATCATGCGATCCTCAGCCTATAGGACTATGAGACCAGAAGAACTAGATGGTGCTTGGCTACCACTGTCAACCACTCAGAGGGGGATCTATGTAGGGATCTTGGATAGAGTGGGAGAACAATGTAGAACAAAACTCAAAATCATTTAAAAAAATGCTAGTCTGTTGGAGTCTTTTGGAACCCCTGAGACTATGGCCCCTAGGTGTCCTTCAGGTCTGGAATTTAACCCACTCCTATGGCTTCCAGCCAAACAAAAGACAGGCATATGAGGTGAACATTTACACTAGGTAGACACTCCTTGGAGAGGTCAATCATGGGAGAATAGAAGGGCTGTGTATGCACAGGGAGTCAGCTTGGGCAGCAGGAATGCACGGGAGAGAAGGACACAGGGAAGAGCTAACTATGGGGAATAAGTGGGAGGTTAGCTGTTGCACTGGGGGAAACAGCAGTCTATGTCCTAAGACAAAGTATATGTGAGGTGCTGTATGGAAAGTGAATTTGCTCTGTAGACTTTCACCCAAATCACAATAAAATTAAAAAAAAAAAAAAAAAGTAAAGGAAACAGCTTGGTGCTTATTATCTCATCCACTGTGGTCTGTCCACTTCCCAAGGAGCCATTATGAGCAAATTTATATATGGTTTCAGATATTCTATTCATATATATGTGTATATCTCAGCATATATTTACTTAATTAATTA